TCGTTCTACCTACACGGTTGAACGGCCAAAATTATTTGGAATTCCTTTGGCAAGATCTTCCTGGGACTCTCATTAATATACTAGACGATAAATGTGGTTCATGCACAATGATGCCCCTGCTCATTACAGCCATTTGGTAAGAGATAATTTAAATCAAGCATTTCCAAACCGTTGAATTGGTTCGAGGTAGTGACTTTCCTTGGCCTTCTCGCTGTCCGGATTTTAATCCGTTAGACTTTTACTTTTGGAGTCATTTGATAGGAACTGTTTACAACTCCGTGACACCTAATACGAGAGAAGAACTTTGGGATAAAATAAAAGAAGCCGTACGACAAGTCAGTATAATTCGTTTGCTATTCTCAACAGTTTCACAAAAAGTTTAAGGAAATGTGTCGAACAGAAAGGGGGTCACGTAGAACATTTATTATAAATTAGTAGATTTTTTTATTACTGCCACCTTTCAGTTTATTATGTTAATAATTACGTTATTTATTATGTTTATTCCGAATACGTCGTTTTTTCCAAAAAATATGGGGTATCTGTTAATAAATATTTTCTGTAATATATTCATAACCAAGCATAATTTCGACTATTGATAGGTATACATTTTTTGTGTAGAATAAAATTCTCTACCTATTTCTGATAGTTGCGTATAAAAATTTAAACGTATAAAAAAGTTACAGAAGAATATTCACAAAGTGTTGTAGTAAAATGAACGCCCTGTATGATTTAACCTAATAGGAACATAATCACTGCATACTTCATGAAGAGTAACTAAGCAACAGCAAATTTTGCTCAAATCGGTTAACTGGGTTCTGAGTTAAAGAGACAAGAAATAAAAAAAGAAACTTTAACAACTTGTAACTTTTTTGCGAAATTTTTCTTTGAAGCAAGTTTGGTTAAATCAATACCATTTGGGTTATAGATTATACCCTTAAAGTATGTAACATTCGTTAGGTGACATCCTGTATAGTACATGTCCAGATTTCTACGGTACCAGGCTGACTGTATATTGGAAGATACCAATTTAAATAAAATTATTGGAATTATTCACAATTAAGGATATATTAACATATTTTTCTTAAAAACTGAATAAGATTAAAAATACAATATAAAAATGTGACGCAGAACGTATTACATGTAACGAAAGGGAGTGTCCTTGGATATTTCGATTTCATTATTGAAGCAGTCTTCAATATAGCTTCGCGTCGCTGTAGAACTCTCTCACATTCCGTGACGCTCCAACTTTGTAATCCCCCTTATCCATTAACTAACAATGTAGCTGAGGAGCAGAGAAAACAGTAACTAGTGTACAATGACAACGTACAATTTGAAATAAACATCATTTTAGATAAGTAATAATATTTCAGGTCAACATTTGATCTAGGGACAATCGTCAGACTAAGGTATATAGGGGTTTTTCGGGTCACTGATCACGAATCCTACATACAAACGTGTGAATGGTTATACGTAGACAGATGGAAACTCTTTGAAGAACTTTAATAACCTCCAGTTCAACTCAGTGACCCCCCGAAAACATTTCAATACACTTTTTAAAATTTTTGTACACAACTTTTTCTAAATTTAACCTTCAAATCACCTTGAACCTGGCGTGATGAAGCTTAAATAACCTTGGATTCGCGTTCAGTGACCTCAAAAACATTCAGACGAATTTTTTCAGATTTTTCAGACTGATTTTAAATTTTCTATCCGAAATACTTCATGAATGACCTTGAAATGACCTTGAATGACCTCTAGGGTGTGTCGTAGAAGTAAACAAATCTCGGATTCGGGTTCAGTGACCTCTAAAACATGAGCATGTATTTTTTCAGATTTTTTTGAGGTCATTTCTTGATTTGACCTTCAAATCACCTTGAACCTGACGTGATGGAGCTTAATCGACCTCGGATTCGTGATCAGCGACCCAAAAAAACCCTGTATACCATAGTCACTTCTGACGATTTTCCCTAGATCAAATGTTGACCTGTGTATTTATTTAGTTCAAAAACAGCATTGCTCACACTTTATACAACGTACTTTTTGTATACGAATTGTCCAATTCCTATCCACTTTTTATATTATTAAAAAGTATTTTTTGTGGAATTTCTTCTGTGGAAGTTTCTCTTCGCTACGTATTTTGTGATACTACACATTTAAAAAATTAGTCAGGCTTTATTTTAAACAAATTAATTTTTAATTTACTTGTAGCTGTAAACTCACATTGGAAAGTAACGGGTGATTCATTTAGAGGTACTTTTTTCAGTAGCGAGTTTAAGACAGATCATGCATGAGTCGAGTGAACTGTCGTGGTATTTTGGTTCAGTACTGTCTGACATTTCATCATGGAAAGACTTAGCCCGGCACAACGTCTACAAATAATTCAGCTGTACTACGAGAATCAGCGTTCTGCCAGGAGTGTATTTCGTGCTCTTAGAGCAACATAGAGCAAGAATTCAAGCCGGCTGACCTTCCAAATCGTCACCGTTTCAGTCTTTGGGCTCTTGAACAGCTTGAAGAAGATCCAATGTTTTCGACCAAAATTTTGTTTAGCGATGAGGCCCATTTCTGGCTTAATGGCTATGTTAATAAACAAAATTGCCGTATTTGGGATGAAGAACAACCCGAAGAACTTCAAGAGCTGCCATTACATCCAGACAAAACAACGGTTTGGTGTGGTTTATGGGCTGGTGGAATCATCGGTCCATATTNGGGCCGGGTTTCTTCTGATCATACATACATCCCTCGAAGCGTCTGAAAACCAAGCCTTTTTCCTAGCCATATCCTTATTTGGCTCACTCACTATAACGAGGTCTACCCCCCCCCCCCTTGACAGCAGTTTGAAACAGGAGGTACTGTGCCCCTCGTCTCCGTTGACTTGAATGATTTTGATCATATTGTATCGGACCTTATTACAGACAAAGTATCACAAATTGCAAATTATCATGAACGCCTTTTTTTAACTCTCCTGGCCCTTCCCAGTGCTTTTCTGAATTCAGGGTACTGCCCGCTTCCTGCCTTGTGTCCCTGCACCTTGCAGTTTAGGCATATCGGGATCCTCTGCTGACACCTCCCCTCCTTATGTCCTATCCTCGTACACTTGCAGCAAACATTACTCCTGTCTTCCGCGTTACAGTCTTTACTAGTGTGGCCATACTCCCAACCTAACCTAACCTTTTTTTTTTCTTAATGGAGGAGGGGAAAAATCTTCTGAAGACACAGGCTACTCCTGTAGTGTCGGATTCACGACCAGTGTTGTGTCGCGCCTACCGACTAAAAAACCCCTCCTCTGTGAGCCGCTTTAGTGAGGAGGCAGTTGGAACCGTTTTCACATACTTCAGCTGCCTCCAGCGGTCTTGCTCATATTAGTCTTTACCTTTCTCTCTCTCCTTTGCCTCTTTGGCCATCATAATCTCCTGAATCATACCTGTAATGACCCTCCAGTTTTCCTCCGATTCTAGCATATTTTGGATCAGATTTGTTGTTGTTAGGACACTTTCTAGCCTTGTATTTGCTTCGTTCCTGGCCGTAGCCCACTTCTGGCACACGAATAAAGTATGGTGCGGGGTGTCGTTTTCCAAGCAATACATGCATCTAGAGTCCGCCGTCTTCCCGATCCTATGGGTGTAGCTCCCGAAACACTCATGCTCCGTTAGTGCTTGCGTGGTGAAGTAGTTTATATCTCCATGCCTCCTCTCGATCCAGGTGTTAATATTTGGGATGAGTCGTCTTGTCCAGGCAGCTTTCTCCGTGTTATCCCATAGGCGCTGCCATCTGTCAGCCGTGGCTGTCCTGGCTCTTTTACGTAGCTCGCCCCTTGCGAGGAGGTTTTTGTTGCGGTATAAGTAGCTCCGTTCTCTGGCCATCAATTTAATAGACACCACACCGGCCAGCACCAACAAGGCCTCGGTGGAGACTGTACAGTAAGCACTACATATTCTCAAAGCCATCTTGCGTTGGGTTCTCTCCATTAGTTGATGGTACTTTTTACATTTTAACCCCTTCAGCCATAAAGGAGAACCGAGTGGCCTGCTGCACAGAGCACTCTTCTCTTCCCAGCTCTCGGTCCTTTAATGTTCGGCATCAGCATCCCCAGCGCTGCTATAGTCTTGTTTGCCTTTTCAGTGGCATAACGGATGTGCCCGTACATATTGAGTGACTTATCCAGTGTGATGCCCAAATATTTCAGGCTATTCTTCGGTCTGATATGGACACCCCTTAGCTTAAAGGAGAAAGGCCCTACCTTCCTGCGTCCTGTTAGCATAATGGCCTCCGTTTGTTCAGGGGCCAGTTCTAGCTGGTTTCTTGTCATCCAGCGGTCTATATGCTCCAGTGCCCTGTTTATTCTAGATGTCAATAAAGTAGCGCTCTCCGCCACCGCGACCAGTGCCAGATCGTCGGCGAAGCCTATGAAGTGGGTGTCGAGGGGCATCCTTAACCTGAGAACGGGGTCATATAGCACGTTCCAAAGAAGAGGCCCCAGTATTGATCCCTGAGGGACTCCGGCGGTCGTGGGAATATTATTACCTCGCTCTATTTGTATGTGCCTGTTCCGCAAGTATTCCCCAATGACATTTAGCAGATTGGTCGATATACCTGATCGCTCTACTGCGTTCATTACGCGATGCCACGCCGCCGAATTAAAGGCATCTTTTACGTCAACTATGACGAGTGCTCAGAGCTTTTTTATGCACCCTCTGGATCTTTTGGCCTTTTCTGCAATATTTACTACTCGTTCCACAGCTTGAATTGTGGATCTTTTCCTCCTGAACCCGTACTGGTGATCCGAGAGACCGCCTTCTCTGTCTACCACTTCCTCCAGCCTTACCTTCAGCATTTGTTCGTAGAGCTTCCCCAATGCGTCCAGAAGGCAAATGGGTCTATATCCCGTAGGGTCTTGGAAGGGCTTTTTCCCCTTTCAAATAAGGATTAATTTTGCTAACTTCCACTTATCTGGGAAGTTTCCTTCTGCGAGGGTCTTGTTTAAGACCCTTAATACGTAATCAGGGGCTCCCTCTATGGCCGCCTTGATAACCTTGGTAGGGAGTCCATCCGGTCCTGGGGCCTTTTTCGCTCGCATTTTTAATCCCGCCTCTTCTAACTCCTTGAGGGAGAAGGGAGGGGGGGGCGTCGTTGGTTGTTTCTGCCACCTCCAAGATAGGGTGCTGGGGGAACAAGGTTGCCACAGCCTCCGCTTTTCCCTCGGCCGGTAACTTCCCCGGGGGACCTGTCGATAGTGTTTTCAGTGCCAGTTTATATCCGTTACCCCACTCGTTGTTGTCTATATCGCTACATAGAATATCCCAGCATCTCCTCTTGGAAGCCCTAATTTGGAGTCTTAGCTCTTTCTTTTTCGCCTTGTATGCCTCCTCTATAGGCGCAGCTCTTCCCACGTCGGAATTATTTCTCTTGAGAAACCTTTGTAGGATCCTGCTGGCTTTAAGGCAATCTTGCGGCTTCTTGGATATCTCCAGCGTCCACCAGTAAGGTGCCTTATTTCCCTCCGTTCTCATCGATGGGGCCGCTCGCTTGTAGCACCTCCCCAGTAATTTGGAACATTGTCCAACTGTGAACTGGGCTTCTCTCGATGCCATGTCCTTTAGGTTCCTTAGGAAAACCCCCTTGTCCATGGGGCTTCTTATCCGTCTTTGGGGCACCTTTTCTGTTTTCCTGCCGACCTGAAACATGATTTGCACGTGATCGCTTAGAGTTTCTCCCTCCAGAACCCTCCACCCTGTTATATCCTTTGCCACATCTTCGGTGGAAAAGGTGATGTCTACCCTTGACGTGCTGTTACCCCTTCTAAACGTTGGGTTTTTTCCGGTGTTGTGGATCACCAAGTTAAAATTAGCAACCCACTCGGAGAGCAGGTTTGCCCTCCTGCTTGTTACTCTAGAGCCCCATTCCGTGGATTTGAAGTTGAAGTCTCCCTCTATTATGGCTCCCACTCTCCAATGTCGTATGCTTTCCCCAAGATCGTCCAAAAACTGGATAAATCTTTCCTCGGTCGCGTTTGGAGATATATAGCAGCTGTAGGCTACAAGGTGTTTTAGTTGCACCCAGACATAGCCCTTGCCCCGTCCCACGTCATAGCCGTATGTTTTGGTTAACTATACCGATCGCGGCGGCGTCATCCTCATCTTTGATCCAGCTACCCGATTTTACATATTCTTTGTTTGGTTCGCTTATTAACATCAAATCCACTTTCCTTTTAACAGCTGAGCTATAGGCCAGATCGTGTGCTGGCCTGCTGTTGTTGACATTTATCTGCGTAAAGAGGGTAATTTTTGCTGTTCTTGTCTTCTGGCCTCCGCCAAAGCCACCTTGAGGGATCTGCAGTTGGCCGACCCTGCGCTGTGCCCCTCAGCGCCGCAGAGAGGGCAGTATTTCGCCTGATCGCAGTCTTTGGCCTTATGGTTTTTCCCACTGCAGTTTCGGCATAGCTTAGATCTATCTATGCCGGTGCAGCTGTTTGATAGGTGGCCAAAGTCCCAGCACCTATAGCATCTAATTAATTCCATTCGCTCCCTAAGCCTACAATTATTTAGGCCTATGCGGATGGGGCCACCTTCGACAAGCATTTTTGCTGACTACCTGGGCAGCTGGACTGTGACAGCCTGGCTGCCGTCGTATGTGGGCCTCATTTGGCCCACTCTCACCTCCTGGGCGTTTACCCCCAACGCACCTTTTATGGCCTCTGCCACCTCTTGCCTGGTTGTCAGGCAATCCATATCTTTGAGATGACATGTCGTCAACTCGATCGTACTTCTACTATGCCTTATTGTGGAATCTCCCATTTCTGCCTTGAGGGCCTACTTAATAGCATCAATACTCTAAGTGCCTTTTTTAACCTTAATAAAGGCATTTCCCTGCCTGGTCTGTCTGACCCCTTCTAGGTTCGACTCCCCCTGATGACCTTTAATGGCCGTTTTAATGCCTTTAGAAACAAATCCTAACCTAACCTAACCTAACCTAAAAATCAATGACCAGAATAATACAGACTAGTGACTACAAAATATACACTAGAACGCAATGGATCAGTGCAAGGAGCCAATATAAACACCAGCCAGAGCAATTAAACGTTAGTTTCAGAGTTTCTTCTGAGGAAGAGGGAGGTATGTCTCTCGAAACGTCAAAAATTCTAAATCCTCGACGTAACAAGCAGACTGTAAATTGTTCAACCATTGACTACTGCCACGGAAACCTACAAACTAACTAAACATGTAGACTTTAGAAAGAAATGTTTTATTTGCTAAATATGCTTTGTCTCTATTGCACTAGAAAAGGGAAATACTAAATGTTTGTTCCTTTTTTTGGTAATTATGTATTTAAATGTTCGTCATTTGCAGTTTGACGCCACCTTGGAGACCGTCACTAATTTCCACATTTTTTCTTTTTGAGGGTATTTTGGACATATTTTAGTAAAATAACGAAACTAAACCTATGAAATTTGAAATACAGACTCATTCTGGGCCCATATAAGTCAACTATGAGTTTTAAGTATTCTACATTATGTAGATTTTTCTGGATTTGTGGTACTTCTCTTTAATCTTTGTCAAAATCTTTTTCAATGAAATTCTGGTACAATTCCTATTACGAGCCATGTAGTGTACCTAGTTACATGTACACAGGAAGTAATTTAATCCTCCTATATCTAATGTATTTACCCAGATATCGATTCATATGTTTTACCAAATTTGAGACTCACGGTGTGGGTCCATATTGTATCAAATTCATTATTGACCTAAATTATAATTCATTAGCTACCTACCTGATAACCTGAAATCAAAAGGGAATATATTTTCATCTCAGGAATCCCTTGACCCCAAATAGGAATTAATGATGAGAATTTTCCGTGGGTGAAATTGAACCAAGTCGAGCAAATAACAGGCCGGAGCAAATCTGATGACGTATCGGAGTCCGGTTAGGTCAAGGGGCCAAGAGAAATTATTAATTACTAATTTCCTCGTTAATGGGCATCTTTTAATTTTTTAATATGTCGCCGTTGATGTTATCGAAATGTAATTCATACAATGTTCTAATATAAAACATATCTCAGAAAATTCACAAAAGTTCTTAGCTCCCGATATTTAAATAAAATGATGCATGTAAATTCATTTTTGAAATAATTTCTGAACAATATCTCAAAAACTATATAATATATATCTATATATCACTTATATATAAGTGATATCAAATTAAGGTTTATTATAGATTGTAAACGTTAAAAGTATATAAAAAAATCTAATATTTCGTTTCATGTACCATTGGTACCCTGAAGAGTAGGCTGTGCTGTTTTTTTTAATATACAGGGTGTCTCATAATTAGCTGCCAACCCTGAACAGGTCGATTCTATATTCAAAACTAAGTAAATAAGTTCATATGAACATGGGTCCGGAAATGCTTCCTAAGGGCACAGGGACCCATTGAAGAGGGAGGAATGGAAATCATTTTTTTGCAATATCTCTCAATCGCGTTGTGATAAATGAATGAAATTTGGTATACACAGCTAAATTTTGATGAGCAATTTGATGGACTAATCCATTTATTTCCACAAGGTCCATTGGGGTGGGTACGGGGGGGCCCTTGGTACTTTGCGTGTGTAACTTTTTCATCTTTGACTTTTTAACAAATTGGACAGCAAATTCCGTTTTCCCGAACTGTTTTACGTTAAAAAGG